TTAATTCCATTAGTGAACAGAAATCAGTAAATTAGCTAATTCAAACTTAATGAAATTAGTCACACAAAGGAAACAATTGAATATAATTTGATGAGTCCATTTCAGCGGCAGATTTAGGAAGCGTTGGTTCTAGAAAAAGAATCCACGGTAAATGAAAAGGCTGACGTCACCACAATGGTTTAATTGTATTTTCTATCCTCTAAATCAAACTGTAAAAACAAATAAACCCTGTGCATATAGTTGCTCCAAACTAAAAATCATATAAATGAACTAGCTGATTAATTATCTTTACTTTTACATACATATAGAAAATGAAAATAAAATTAAAACCACATAAGACATAACACAATATCCAATCAGAATTACAAATGAAACATCATATCTAAATACATGAATATTGGATGTATAAATACCGAAACACGTCTTATAGCAATGCGAATTCACACTCGGCAAAACAGTAATATTCGGGAATAGGTCACGTTCGATACTTAGCAGACCAGACGACGAAGATGGTAAATCACAATCTAAGACGTGGTAAAAATGTCGTTAGTTAAAAATTTAGACACAGACACATCGTATAGATCAAATAATGGTGTGTGAACATGCACGAGCATAACGTATCAACTGAGATATGTAAACACCATACCAATCGTGTTTTCTGATTATTCAATGTTTGTGATTTTGTCAACTAGTTTTTTGTAAAAGTTTAATATACCATTCCTATGTTGCAACAATCAAGCAGCGCCTGTATATTGAGTAAATATTTCTCAGTCGATATGATAATCCAGAGCTTGCATTTCCTATCATGATTTCCTTGGTCGGAGGTTGATGCTTGCAAGAAAGCTATTAAACCAAGGGTTTCAAGTTAAGTCATCCCTTTGAAAATTTTACGGACACCTCCACAGGTTGGTTGGCCGTTATGGAGTATCTGTTTCAAAGATGATTATGGATATGTTCAAATTGTAACTAATCCCGACCTTTTTTCCTCGTTTGTGACACATTACCGAGTTTATACTTGCACGAGAAATATGTATGGAATTGAGCAGGATCTGTTATACCTTCAGGAGCACCTGAGATCTACGCCCCCTATAGTTTATTATGTTGTGATTTGTAAACTGTTGTTTGTCTCGACTTATGAGTTTTAATATCCCTTTGGGATCTCCTGCCTCTCTAAATCACCTTTTCTGAATTTTGAAGTATTCATCTACAAGGATAGAGTGAACTTAATAGCTGAGGCAATGGTTACATTTTCAAAAGTTAGAAAATTCAAATCATTCGAATGAAGTATGTTGTTTAACAGCAGGGTGTGCAAGTTATGCAATGTTTGTGTATTAAAATCAAAGCACCAAGGGCGCTATAGGCAGTAAATTAAAAAACCAAAGGCAAACTTGACAGAAGTAAAGATGAATATTGTGGAAGAATTGGTGAAAATATTTATCTCAGCTATTTCTCAAGTATCAAATAATGTTTGTACCGTAATGTTTCCGCTATTTTATCCTACCACTTTCAAAAGATATTTCCAATTTGTTTTTTAAAGATTCAATGTCTGAGATTATGCATATACACTGTCTAATGTTAGGGGAGAGTTTTGTGCCAGCTAACATGTTTAACCCGCCACATTCTGTATGTACACGTCCATAGTGAGGACCCAGTAATTTGGTGATTGTTGATTGTTGCTGTATATCATATTTATTTTTAGCTCACCTGGCCCAAGGGGCCAAGTGAGCTTTTCTCATCACTTGGCGTCCGTCGTCCGTTAACTTTTACAAAAATCTTCTCCTCTGAAACTACTTGGCCAAAATCATCATTGAGGTATCTAGTTTATCTTATGTTTCCGGTGACCCGGCCAACCAACCAAGATGGCCGCCATTTTAGAGCAAATCTGAAATGGGTAAAATTGTTTATCAGGTCAAGATCTATCTGCCCTGAAATTGTCAGATGAATCAGACAACCCGTTGTTGGGTTGCTGCCCCTGAATTAGTAATTTAAAAAAATTTTGCCGTTTTTGGTTATTATCTTGAATATTGTTATAGATAGAGATAAACTGTAAACAGCAATAATGTACAGCAAAGTAAGATCTACAAATAAGTCAACATGACCAAAATGGTCAGTCGACCCCTTAAGGAGTTATTGCCCTTTATAATCAATTTTTAACCATTTTCGTAAATTTTTGTAATCTTTTACAAAAATCTTCTCCTCTGAAACTACTAAGACAAATTTAACCATACTTGCGGTGACCCGGCCAACCAACCAAGATGGCCGCCATGGCTAAAAATAGAACATAGGGGTAAATTGTAGATTTTGGCTTATATCTCTAAAACTAAAGCATTAAGAGCAAATCTGACGAGGTGAAATTGTTCATTAGGTCAAGATCTATCTGCCCTGAGATTTTCAGAACAATCAGGCAACACGTTGTTGGGTTGCTGCCCCTGAATTGGTAATTTTAAGAAAATTTTGCAGCTTTTGGTTATTATCTTGAATATTATTATAGATAGAGATAAACTGTAAACAGCAATAATGTACAGCAAAGTAAGATCTACAAATAAGTCAACATGACCAAAATTGTCAATTGACCCCTTAAGGAGTTATTGCCCTTTATGGTCAATTTTTTACAATTTTCATAAATTTTGTAATTTTTTTGTAAATTTTTACAAAATATTTTCCACTGTAACTACTGGGCCAAGTTCATCATAGATAGAGATAATAGTAAGGAGCAAGAATGTTCAGTAAAGTAAGATCTACAAACACATCACCATCACCAAAACACAATTTTGTCATGAATCCATCTGTGTCCTTTGTTTAATATGCACATAGACCATGGTGAGCGACACAGGCTCTTTAGAGCCTCTAGTTCATAATTGTTTTGTACATAAATCAGCTGCCTGCTTTAGTTTTATTGTTTTACATTTGTCATTTCGTGGTCGTTTATAGCTTACTATGCAGTATAGGTTTTGCTAATTGTTGCGGACTGCATGGAGGAATATTCTAAATTTCTTATCAGAATAATAATTTCAATAATGGTGTCCAACAGTGGTGTATGGTTTAATTCCACTATGTACTAGAGTTTGAATATGCCATATTAGCGGTTTTAGTTGTATCAGCTGGTGCCATTATGCATAATTATCAAATCATACCTGAAACTATCTGAAGTGGTGTAATTTTCTTGTATATTATATTACAATAAATGCTGATGTTGTTATAATGGCCTAGCAATGATGTGACATATATTTTTGAAGGCTGTACGGTTGCCTATATTCGCTTACATCCACTTCATTTGAATTTTGATGGATAGTTGTCTCATTGGCAATCATACCACATCTTCTTATTTTTATAATAATTGTACATGTCTAATCTATAATAAGCTGTTAACACAGAGACATGTTTTGCCTACTTGTTATTTTGATAATGCAAATGTTATGCCTATTTGTTATTTTGATAATGCAAATGTTACAATTAAAATAGAAATGCTTTAACATGTAAGTGATATTCAAAGACAATGAACCATGACTGATGGTACAGGGCTGATCAATCTCCATGGAAATGGGATGTGCCAATGCTTATACAAGTGCTTACCAAATACCATTGACTTTTCATAAGTCTTTCCCTTTAAACAAACCTTAACATAAATTCAATTTCTAAGTCAATGAACCATAATCATGATAATGAGGGGATGGGGTTGTATAATATCCATGAAAATGAAACTTTTAAATACCAATACGTTTGCATACCAAACAGCTTTAACTTAAGATCACTGGTAATTTACTGACATAATCATAATAATTACAAACTAATTCATGTAAACTAAGTAAAGTTTCAAAGTCAATAGATCATGCATATGACTGAGGGGTAAGGACCAAATATCCTTTATGGAAATGAGATGTACTAATACTTCTACACCTGGATGCCAATTATCATTGACCTACCACTATTGGTTTCTCTAATACTAACATATTCAAAAGCTAATAAATGAAATTTCAAAGTAACATATAAGTTTCCAAGTAAAAAGAGCATGATGAGGAGGCGTGGCCAAATAATCTCAATGGAAATTAGAAATGACAAAGTTTATACAACTGCACACCAAATATCATTGACCTACCACTAGTGGTTCCCCCTAAACTGACCTAATCACAAACTTATAGATGTAAGTAAAACTATGCAAAGTTTCAAAGTCAATAGACCATGACTAAGGGGGTGGGGCCAAATATTCTCCATGGTAAGAGACATGCCTATGCTAACACAACTGCTTACTAAATATCATTGACCTACCATAAACTAGACCTTATCACAAAATCACAAACTAATACATTGTTGATGCCGCCAAAACAGCATGCCTTTATGTATATATATATCTCTTTTTGACTCTGTCAAGGCAAGACAAAAATTGCAACAAATTTAATACAAATATTTTGTCCATTTTTTTAAATATTTTTATATTCTTATATTCTTGTAGATCTTACTTTGCTGTACATTATTGCTGTTTACAGTTTATCTCTATCTATAATAATATTCTTCATTTCTTAGATATATTAATGCTGCATTCACACATAATTCAAATTCAATTCACATTAACTGATTTGAATTAGTTTAATACGCATTCGAAACATTTAACATGTTTAATGTCCAAAAGTAAATTCGTCAAAATCGCTTTTCTGTCCAAATGACGTTAACTTTTAATTCAAATCATCAATTAATTTATTATAGTTTAATTTGAATTACAATTTAGAAAGTGACCACACCAAAGTTTAATCAAATTAATCAAATTAACTTATTTGTATTAACAAAAAACGTATTTCTTATGAAAATTGGATAATGCAAATTAGCCAATTTGAATTAGATTCGAATTAAAAAAAGAAGAGTGTGTGAATGCGATAAGTGAATTTGATTCTCATTAGATTTGAATTCAATTCGAAATTATAAAAAAGATTGTGTGAACTCGGTTCACATTCAATTCAAATTAAACGTACGTATGAACAAGGCATTAAACAAGTGACAAATATGCATTCAATAAATAATAAAATTTAAAAGAATCCACGATCAAAATACTGCTGCGTAATTATGGTAATAAGTAATTCTCCTTGGTATAATTTAACCTTACTCTTGGACTGTTAGGAAAACAAACTAAAATATTTCATGTTTCTGCACAATGCATCAATATCATGAATTCCAACTTTCTTTATATAAAACTTCATGTAAAAAGTTTCTGATAACTAGGAATACTTCTTAGTGCACAATAATATATCTCCTTTTGTAGTAACAGTTACACAGATTCTGACATATGATCACATATCATGATCATAGTTCTGAGAGTATCGTTAAACAGTCTCTAAAAATTGCTAGACCGATAGGCACACTTAATAACAAATAATATTCATGTGTTGTAACTGCTGGCAAGTTTATAATAATTCCTGTCAGAAAGCTGAACCAAAACTTGTCGGACTAGTCGACATGATGACCCTTGGCATAAACAATCTTCAAAATTAATTATATATGTAGATATACATGTAAATATCTTCATAACACCATACATGTAGTAGTCTAGAGTTTCATTGCTGTTATAAAATTGTTGTGGTGAATAGACAATCCAGTTGCTACAGAGAATCATGTATTGTACATGTACATGTATGCCTTGCTTCTTCTAGTATTAGCAATTCCGAAAGATTGGAATCAAGCTGAAATAAAAACAAATACAAATAATTTGCTTATTTTGACAAATACAATGAAGCAAAAAAGCTTCATGTCTAAAATCTTTATGTATTAGTTTTGTCCATGTTCATTAATGCTGTGATAACTCATGCTTATATTCTCTGTTATAAAAAAAAAAGATGTGGTGTGATTGCCAATGATTGAGACAACTCTTCACAAGAGACTGAATGACACAACAGGTTTTAAGAATCGAATTTTCCAAGCATATATACTTGCTGTTATTTTTCAAAGCTTTTTTGAATGACAACTGCTAAGGTGTTATGTCTTTGCTACCTATTCTATGCCATTGACTAGAGGTCTAGGGGGAGGGTTGAGATCTCAATAAACATGGTTAACCCCGCTGAATTTTTGCGCCTGTCCCAAGTCAGGAGCCTCTGGCCTTTGTTAGTCTTGCATGATTTTTAATTTTAGTTTCTTGCGTATATTTCTGAGTTTAGTATGACGTCCATTATCACTGAACTAGTATACATTTTTGTTTAGGGGACAGTTGAAGCACCCCTCTAGGTGTGGGAGTTTCTCGCAGCATTTAATTTGAACACCCATTGGTGGACTTTGGTTGTTGTCTCTTTGACACATTCCCCATTTCCATTCTCAATTTTATTTGTAATTATAAGTGAGTTAAAATATCTTGATTACGGTTTCACTGTCTCCATAGTCCGAGATTACTCTGACGTCAAACAGCTGTTTTGCCAGACACGGCCCAAGCTTGTCTGGCAAAATAGCCGTTTGACGTCAGAGTAATCTCGGACTATGTCTTCCATTGCTAATATCATAATAAAAAACATATATTTGTGCTTTGAAAAATTGTTATAGGAATTAAGAAAAAAAACTGTAACTTGTTGAAAACGTAGACTATAAAGTACAACGTTACCTCATTTCGTATTTCTTTTTGCAGAATTTTCATGAAAAAGTCGTTTACCAGCATCAAGTTGCTGAAGGAAACGCATAGAAATGATTCTAGAACACTTCACGAGTGTTTAAATATGAAGAAAATCACAAAATGAAACATCGAAAGAGTTGTTTATTTCATACCGGAAACTGAAAAGTCCTTGTAAATCAAAAACAATGACGGTGTGAGACGCGTCATCAATTCGTACTTAATATTTTACAAATATGCGATGGAAGTTAAATAATGCCGTCCTTTAGCAAATTATTGATTAAGTATAAATCTAAATATTGTTTGAAGCACCTTTAGCTAAATGAAAGCACATGTAGCAGTCTGTAACACCAATGGCAAAGCCTGAACTAAAAACACAAAGGAAACCATCTTGAAATGACCTTGACATCGACCAATCAGATCTCTAGTTTTATTTGCATAAATAACAACAATTTGATTTGACAAGCATGAATTGATCGAAGGTCGGTTACGAGATAAACAGAATAATATTAACAAGAATACAAATGAGCATACATTTAATTAAGATGATTTAAATAATCATAATCATCTCAAACAAAACAAATAAAATGATTAAAATAATAATTACCTTTGAATTATCAGAATCCACCAAATTTAAAACGTCCTTGATTTACGTTTTGTCGACGAAGTTAAAATTACCGCCAACTGAGACTTCAACACTGTGTCATATTAGTCACAGCCGTTATACAATATTCCTGCGCTTTTTGCCATTTGGCAAATGTAAACGACTTGTAATTAGAGATTTTCGGCGATGAAATAATTCATACAATTGTTCTTTGACATCTTAGCCAAAAGCACAGGGGATAATAAACTACACAAGGATAACTATTGAGCACTACTTCCTATGTGCAACTTCAAAAGTTTTGGGTGGTTCCACGATCATTTAAGGCTTTTCTGGTCATATTTTTTGTATTCCAGAATTAAAACTATGAAGAAAGTGTTCAATTAGTTATAAATAACATAATAGCCAGCTAGATAATAACAATGGCACCAATTTCAGCATTTATTGGGTAGAACACAAATCTAGGGTGCCCGCATAAAGCAGCTTAACTGCTTAAAAACCTTTGTCAGCATCAATAAAACTAGTGGAAAAGTGCATTTGGGTCAATGGACACCTGGATGGTTTCATGCAAGAAAGACGTTCATCAATGACAATAGTTTAGAACTTTGAAAACTCACTTCTTATGAATCGATGTTATAGCTGTCCTGTAGCCAGGTATGGTCTGGTTTAAATTTTCTAAAAGATTGAGGATAAGAATACTTTTTGTGTTTGTGTTTTTCTAGGATTTGTCATGGTTTTTGAAGAAAATCACTGACGTATAAGGCAGTTAGATAATTTCTTATGTAGGAATCTCCAAATTTATAAGGTGTTATTTTCATTATCTAGCACTCGGTTTACTGCTGCTTGTGGACCGCTTATACACGAGAATGAACATTTTTCTAAAACTCGAGTTGATTAATTTAGAAATTACTATTTTTCAGAAACTAAGATTCTAACTTCTTCAGGCAAAGTTGACCGTAGGTGGATTTTGCTACTCTTTGAGGTCAATTTTTGACACATAGCTTTTCAAGTATTCAATTATTTATACATCCTTGACCTCAATTTGTTTTTAGTCCCATATCGACGAAGTCGAAGGGGACTTTAGGTTTGCACTCCGTCCGTCTGTCCGTCTGTCCATCTGTCCGTCTGTCCATCCGTCAGTCCGGCAAATCAGCTTTCCACACTTTTTTTCGTCGTTCTTGAAGATATTGATTTGATATTTTGTATATTGTTTTATCATGACGAGTTACAGATCAAGTTCGAATTTTATTCCGGTCTGATGATTTAGTCCAGAGTTATGGACCATAACTCTGGACCATATCTAATGTTAGAGTACTATGTTAAACCATATGTCTGTACAAAGGGAGATAACTCATTTTTTAAAAGACATTCTTTGTTAAATTATTTGATTTTTTTTTTTGCAGGTTTGTTTGTTATTTAGTATAAACGAATTTTCTGAATGCTATATATATAAAAAAAATTATGAAGAGAAATCCTTTAATTAGATAATAATCTATTTTTATTAATGTATATATTTCAATACATTACATTGTGTAGATAAAAGTTGTTGACATTTTATAGATAAGTTACAAATCTATATTAGTTTGTGACAAATGAAAGATAAAATATTTGGAACTATGAATTATATTTGATTATAATTTGAAAATAGATATACACTGTATTACATCATATCTAATTTTAGAGAACTATTAATCATATCTGATGTTTTTTCATCATGCTTATAAGATATTGATTGATAATTGGTATATATATAGTTTTATCATGACAAGTTCAAATTTTTGTTTCGGTCTAATAATTTTGTGCAGAGTTATGGTCCTTGCACTTGAAAAATTCACTCATATAATCAGTTTTCCACACTGTTTTTAGTCATGCTTGAAGATATTGACATGATATTTACTTTTTGTTTCACCATGACAAGTTATAGAACAAGTTAGCATTTTGTTCCAGTATAATGAATTTTTACCCGGTAGGGGACTATGTATTGACATGCAATACTCTCAGAATGCTTGTTATTTTTGAGCATTCCTAGTGAAGGTAAGTCAAGAAAAACGCTTTGAACGAACCAAATTGTTCGGGTATTATTTTCATTTTATATGCCGTGCCTACATTGGTACAATAAACTAGCACAGTCATTTCTTCTTAAATCTTTTGTGTTTTGAGGACTGTTTTTGTCGTTTGTTTGCCACTATTTTTCGGTCTCTTTGGTATATCCTGTCTCTTTTTTTGTAAAACATGAGCATTGAGAATTGGAGGAAGGAACATTTATGCAAACATATTTACAGTAAAAGTATTTCCTTTAAAAGCATAGAGGTCCGAACTGGTGAGCCATACATTGTTAACGTTTTGTTACATAATTATACACGGGGTCTCCATTTGTAGAATTATCATATTCTCTTACCATATTGGTGTGTGTTTTGCTCTGTCGTTCTCTCATAATGATTCAACAGCAAGAGTGACTCTTGAAGTAGGGTTTGTTAACCGTCAAACCTTTTTCGTATTTCACAAAGCTTCGAAAGAGGCTTCTTCATAATTCAGAGGTATATATCTCCCTATGCAATTTCTACCAGAGATACCAGTTTGTAATCTGGTACGCAAAACGCGCGTTTTGTCTACCGTATGTTTCAAAGTAAAATCAAATATTACAAAGAACATTAATAACCGAAAATTCCGATATTGAGCCGAATACGGCAATTTAATCTATACATGGGGTAGAAAACACTTAACGTTTTGAATATTTCAGCATTTTATAAACAGTAAGTTTAAAAAAAAAAAAACAGAACATATCAATGATATTTCTTTTGTGCTGACTACTGGGCTGGTGTTACCCTTGGGGACGAAATGTTCACCTGCAGTGGCATCGACCCAGTAGTTGTAAAACCTCATTAAAGATACCATGCAGACAATAAATGATTAAAAATAGATAAAAATCAAATAGCTGATAGCTCTGAGGGGGAAGAAGATGCTTAAAAAAGATTTATTAAAGTACAATGAAAGCAGATCACACCAACCCAGCCTACTCTGTGCCATTTTTTGCTTTCGACATATTTTTTTTCTTCCAAAAATAATATACTTTCACATGTCTCCACCAAATCAGATAAAACTAAATATACAAATCTCCGTATACTGTTGATTCACATTAAATTTTCTATATATACATTGCATCTCAGCATGATCAATTTTAGGGACGCAAATATGCCAGGAATTGATAGGATTCACTTTAGAAGGTAGATAACTCTCTTTGGGTATTCCGGCTTCCTTCGTCAATAAAAACTGTACACCATGACAGACGCTGAAACTAATTATTTTAAGAGGGAATTTATTTCAGGGACTGAGCCTAGACTCTTAATTCCTAAAGGGAATTGCTGATTCCCTATGACTGATGAAATTCCGTTTCTATGAATAACATCTATATGCACTTAACTAGAAAGTTTTAAAAAGTTCAGATCACAAGATTTTCAGACATGTTTATTGGTGATTGAAAATAAGATTAAGTACGGGACATTACTCGTAGGTAATATTGTAATATTATAAATTTTACCCCTTTTGACTAAAATTTTTTTTTTAAATGTAGCTCTTGCAAGACTTGACACAAATTGCTTTTCAAATAAAATTTCGATTAATTGCCGATGAAGAATTTTTTTACTATATTCAGGACAGGAACGACGTGTTATCAAAATAATAATTTAATTGCACAACAACACAACGTGACGTAATCTTGTAACCCATTCAATTATAATCCTTTTATACATTTATCGGTAGATATCATACATTATACAAATACATTTTTAATTGCAAAAACGTTTAAGTGGAACCACTAATGGTAAGTCAATGATATTTGGAATGCAGTTGTATAGGCAATGACACATCGCATAGCACTCGTCATTGTCATCTTTCACCGTATTTTTATTTTTGAAGATTTAAAACACGACTTAAAAATACGCTCCATCTCTATATGGTCCAAAAATCGTAGGAAATCTACAAAATGGCGTCGCTGAAGTTAAGAACTCGATGAATGTATACGGAAGGTAGAGGGAAATTGCCAAAAAAAAAGTGAGGAGGCAGGTAAGTGAAAATATTGAAGAGCATCTATAGTCATTATTCCTTATATGACAAGTAGTGTTTGACAAAGACCGACACTATTTGGGAGCGAAAATTGAGGAAATACATAAATTGATACACTTATAAGGTACTGATGTGCATCCCTTGTAATTTGATTCGTCCCAATAGAACCATGACTAAAAAGAATTAAAAATAATTTTAAAAAAAAATAACAATTTATTTTCCATTGTCTAGTTTAATATTGTTATCAATCATCCATAGAAGAATAAAACATTGAAAAACATAACAATCAACAGTTCAAAAAATAATTCACCTTCCATTCGTCATATTTGAAACAGCAATATCTACACAAAGCATGTTTATCAAACAGGTTTGTAGTGAATTTCCACAATATCAAATGTAAGCAGTATCTTACAAGTTTTGACCTTTGAACATGAAAATATTCATCCTTTTCCGTTAACCTATGATAGTATTTTTCTTTTTTTTTCAGGAAAACAAGGCATTATTTTATCCTCGTTTCCAGTTTTGCTCATGAATGCAAAAAAAAAATAAAAGATTTTGGAAAATGGAAAATAAGAAAATTTTGAAGATTGTGTGAAGAGTAAAATCCCATACTTTTAGTGCGATATTTGCTTTAAAAAGGTCTCATCAGTAATGTGATGTCCATGCAAATAATGTCTCTGTAATCACATGTTCAAATGATAAATATAATAATACAAAAAAAAGTTTTTTTTCAAGAAAGTTTAAATATTTACATTTATATACATATACATATACTGTGAAATTGAAGTGCAAATCTCAGCTATTTTTTAAATTATTATTAAAGACTTGCATAATCAGAAAAATTATATTGTGCAGCTTGACAAAATAAGTTAAAGCACTTTGTACATATGAGTCTAAATGTTTTGCTAAACAATTTGAACATTTTTCTTACTTTAATAGAACTTCAACATGTCCAGTTGTTTTTAATTCTTATGTTTATAGTTTATAGATTAATAATTTTATCTAACGTGTCAATTTTGAATACGATATTTAGGTGGAGAATCTTATACAGTTAAAATATTAAGACCGAGTGTAACACTGCTAGATAGTGTCTCTTGTAAAACTAGTGTAAACTATTAGAATAAAATGTTTAAATGAAAATGAAAATGTATGGAAAACAATGCCCAGGCTTTAAATCATTGCATTGATTTGTGCATTAGAATTTTTCTGTTTATTTTGATGGCCCGTGAAATGATTTGGTAAACAAAAAATTACTTCTACAAGAAAAAGAATGATCGATTCACATTTTCTTAAACACTTAAATGAAGCAGACACTCCTGATTCGTATAACTATTTTGTCATTTTGGTTGTTCACAACACTTCATGTGAGGCAAATTCTACAGTACAATCCAATTATTTTAACAAATACGAAATTCTGAAACGTTGTACACTTTTGTCGAGTCAAACAAATGTTTACAGCTTTGTAAGAGATGTCTATTTCACAGTGTCCAAATATATATTTCTTTTTATGTGAGAATTAGAATATTTTCACTTGATTGCAATGTGTTGTACAAATTTTGTATTTCTTTTTTATTTTACTTTTTACAGTATATAAACTTTTATGTACTTTTGTTTATAGTAGTATTGCAGGCTACTATAGTAAAAAAAAATTTGAATTTCTTATGTAACCAAAATCAAAGTAGAAATAGGCTCTATTATGAATTATCTAATGTATTCTTCGTGTTAAATATGGGAAGTCAAGTTGAACCATTCGATCCGTCGCTGACATCTTTAAAATAAATCCACTATTCTTTTCATTAGCACAAACAAGGCTGTACTACACATATGAAATAATCATACACATTCACACACGTGAACAGAGATTCATGAACTGTATATAATTGCACATTATTAAACTTGTGGTCATCCGAGAACTCCAAGCTGAACCATTGGCAACAAGAAAAATAAAAGGAACAGATGATACTTTAACAGAATTTGCACATTTTAACTTTAAAACATTTTAGTGTCCAAACAAGTAGACGCTTCCCTATGATATAATAAATTTAAAATTAAATGTTCTTTAAGCATGATTCACTGCATCCTAAAACTTGAAAGGTTAAACCACAAAATGTCGGAACAAATTCAGTAATATCTTTGGAGTGCCAATAATGTCTTGCTTTGTTATGCAGTAATAGATTTGGTCAGTTTTTTTAAATCAGTACAGCAAGGAATGTACGTCCTAACACACAGATGAAGCTGCCTCACTGAAAAAGAAAAACCTTATAAATATTTGAAGCTCTGAGCAATAACTAGTAAGATCATATATTTCTACTTTATCTTTGCTAAAGAAGAGAACAAACATGTTCCTCGTAGAAATCTCAATGTTTTTATTACCTTGACTTACAGTTCATCAGTGTAAATATAAAATTATAAGGTAAACAAGTAAACAGACAGAAAATTTTCATTTTATAACATTGTTTCTGATTTTAAATGCTATAAAATGTATCTTCTTTAATTCGTTAACTGTTTGATGTCCTTGATACTAAAACATGACATGAAAAAACTTTTGAAATGTTAATCTCAAGATACTATAGTTGTACAATTTCTGTCTTTGTAGATGACTGGCTCGAAATTATGTTGATTCATCATAAAGATTACAATTGGCATAATATCAAAATGAAGAGATCTTTATTTCCCCCTCAAGGACATTCACACATCCATATCAATAACTTAGTTATAAAGCGTTACAATAACTGAACCTTATAGCAATTAAAAACATCTGATACATGTAATAAGTATATATTATCCTTCTTACGTCATCATATTTTTAACTGAGCGCTAATAACAATGAAATCATACTGACTATAGACAACTGTTACAGTCTATGACAAACAATAACATTTTAGGACAGAATATACATGATTAACGGTCGAAAAAAAATTTTGTTTAGATTATCCAAAACAATGAAAATGAACTAAACAATCGCGTGCATAAAGTTTTCTAATTGGCATATACACCAATATTTCAAGATAAAATGACAGGTGATCGCCAGTGTCTCCAGTCTATCCATTCTTGTAAAACCAGCTAACGCAATTTTGTAAAGATTTTTTTTCTCTTTTTCAGGTTCTGAATTATCTTTTTTTCTTTGTCATTGTTTTTTTACAAAATTCATGCAAGTAATTTAACAAGGTTTTATCAAACAGAGTTCTCTGTGTACAGGTTAATTCAGCTCTTATCAGAAAGAGATTGATTTGCCTTTCAGATCACGAATCCTTGGTTTCTACATTTTTTCTCAGTATTAGTATTTCAGCTATCTTAATACTCCATTGATCTCATAAACAAAATAAAATTACTAACTAAAGTACAACACAGTCTAGACAAGCATATGTTACTTACTCAATACTTTAACAATTCAGAGAACATTTTTCAAATACATTTTATGTTGATATCTGCACAGCATCAGATTTAACTAAGATGTCAATATAAATAATTAAGAAAGATAGCCACTCTTTGCCCATTAAAATTGTAGGCAGATGTTGGCAACGTTACAAAATCAGACATGGATTCTTCAAAGTAATCAAATCTTAGTATGCAACATAGAAATTTTATTTACACTGAGCCTGAAATTTAATTAAGATATAAACAATAACTTGTTACAAGGAATAAAGGAATAATGCGTGCAATATATACTACATGCAAGAGACCAATCGTATGCTACCATGGGAGTGTTTATGGTGATGAATTCAAGGACAAGGTGACATTTACAAGTGTCATTACAAGTAAGAGGTTTAGCTAGCTGTAAAATGCGTTACAAGTCAGGAATATGGCAGTTATTTTTCCAGTCGTTCCGTCGGTTGATATAGCTGAGTGTCTGGTTTTATCAGTTTTCATGGACTTCTCCTTTTTAAATTGACCTTGGGGTTTGGAATTTTTGTCATTAATTTTTTTTTTACAAACATGCCAAAGGGCCACTAACGTTATTCTATTACTTTAACTATACTTCATATCATTAATAATTTACGTTATGTTTCTACGTTAATGGATTTTGTTTTTGTTTCTCATGAAAAAGGCTGATTTTGGCACTAACACTAAGTATTTATTACGCAATTCTATCTAATTTCTTATATTAAAGTTCATCCTTAGAAATATAGTTAATGATTTTAAAGCAGCTAACAGTACATACACTATAACACTTTAAAGTTGTTTATTCATAAGTATTCATTTCTTAGGTTTATTGTTTTACAATACTCAATACATGTTCTTAAGTTTAGTTTAGTCAGTATTTTAATCACATTAAAATTATATCTGAAAATAGGGGAAATGAAACGAGTTGTTTTATCTTGATAAATTGATAATGTAAAAAGGCTACTATAACGGTCATTAAGTGTTAAAAGCAATAAAATATGTAAGTCACCTTGACATGTATTAATTTATCCACGACAGATTAACTTGATCTATAGTACAATGTTCACTTTTGTCACTCCAAATCAATTTTTACAGCATGAAAATAAAATTTAGGCTTAATATTTTAAACTAAGTTATCAATTGTATGACCAACTTGCAGTGAGGAAAAGACAGCAGCAGATGTGAAGAATAATTTATCAACTCGGTACTAAAATAAATAGTAAGAAAGTCATTAAACCTAATAAAAACCTGCTTTATTTTCATTATATTTATATAATTACATATCATATAAATAAAATAATATGAAAATTACCAAAAGGACATGCATAATTTCTTCTCCTCTTGAACTCTAATTCATTGAAACGGTCTGCAACCCATAACTAGTGAAACAAATTTTGTGCCAGGGTATTTAAAATGCTTTAAATGATGGTAATCTCCTTAGTATTATTTTGAAAACTAATATTGTAAACTCTACAACTTAGATGTCTCAACGTATATAACATTTAACATATTTAGAAAACAATGCACAAAAGGAATTGAAACATTTTATTAATTTCCATTTCATTATCTAGCACAACGCTATATTAACCATGCAGTTAAATGGGCACTAAAGGGGAAAGATCTGTAAGTTTTCTGTTATATGTTGTCAGTGCTAGGATAGCCATGGCTGGATTGATTAAGGGTGCCAATCTCCCATGGTGCTAGGATGGTCTCTTACCTTGCTAAAGAACACAACATTCCAATGAGAAGTAACTTACACGATGATACGATCACCGTCTTTTATCTCACTAAAGGAAGGTTTGAATTCGTCGTGTATATGATTGACCAATGGCTTCTTTTGTTCTTTGATGCTGTGGTCCTCTGGATAACTGTCTGTACCACATTGTTGATACTTAAACATTAACATAATGACGGAACTCCATAATAAACTTGCACCTAAAGAAAAAGTGAAATCATGACCGAACTCCATAATAAACAAGCATTTAAGGAACAAAAGACGGTCCATGTTCTTCGACTGTAATATTATTTTATGGATAACTTCACACTGACCAATATAAATGGGACAAAATAACAAGTATTGCATTATAACAAGTGGCCTACTATATTTTCATGACTAAAGATAAAATGTAATTTAATAGTGAATATTCAATTACAGTATAAGCATGATAAGGTTACACATTTTTGCATGATCGGTAAGATTAATGAAGTAAAATTCGGCTAGAGTCTGAATTAAAATGGTATTATCTGCCAAATTTATGCCCACCAAATTTATTAAAACTCTCAAATTCTATTTAATATATGATTCAAAACTACACAAGTTTCATAGAAAAACATATACAATGTCCAGAATCACTACAAAGTATCAATATTTCGTGAGTACCGACAAAATCCAACAAAACCGTGAATGGGTATTTGACCCCGATATAATTATCATCATATACACACAGGTAAACATAAAGCAATTTGGCATTTTACGACAATTTTAATTGGATAAAGTCAGGAATTAATTCCACGGTTGGTGGTTGGAGTCAATTTTGGCTTTGTCAGTCGCAAACATCCGTTTACTGGCTCCGCTCCGTGTCACGGCGCCTGTAAAACGGCATTTGAGACCGTATAATCACTTATTGACAGTGGCAACTATTCAAATACAGTTCTGTTATTCCCTAAACAGACAAGTAAGCTCTTGCAACGGTGTAATGCCAATATTCTTAGTTCTAATTGAGATAAATCATATAAATTAAACGTAAATGATTTACTCATAACATGTATACGACTGGATTTTTTTTGTGGATCGAATAAATCAACGAAATAAATTTCCGTTGCTGCTTTTCCTAGTTTCACTTTTTCAGCTGACATTCTTTTCAAAGGTTAAACCGAAGATCGCATGAGTCTGTGGATTCAAATGAGGTTAAAGTATTGACTTGCAAGCCAACAACACATCAGCGACGTTTCTGAGTTTATTTTGACAAAAATAAACGATAGTGAAATATCATTTTCGCTGTTATAATTTTTGAATAAAAATCGTATATTTTATTTTTTTTTGGTTCTACATCGTCATAATCGTAACTAATTCTCTTTAACATGCTCTTCTACATTACCGAATAAGAGGACATCAAAGTTAACAATGAATAGCACGAAGACAAACTTAATACTTTTATTTGTAGTAGTTTATTGTCTAATTATTTTTCGTTACTATTGAGGGTTTAATTTTGTCTGGTGACATTTGACTTATTCGGTAACACAAACACCGGTTACAAACTAGAATGAAAAAGCGTCTCCTTTGAATCTTTCCGAGGTTATCTAAATACAGAGCTAGATCCGTCTGAAGGGTAATCAATGGTACTAATTGTAAGGAAACGAACCTTGTAGGACCCTATATCTAAACAGCGTGAGAGAAACGTAATAATGGCACATATTTCATGTATATCAAATTACATACCAGCTAGATAAAAAGCGTACTCAAATTCCGACTCTTCTTGAATCAGCAGACCTTTAAACAAAAAACAATAATATTGCATAATGTTCATTAGCTATATTGTTATTGAAATATATTTTAAATCTATGAAATCTTAAAAAGCAACTGTGAAATCAATAACTTATTGTAACAGCAGCTAATATATCTATGGCAGAGATTGTCTGACCGCCTCTAGTTTCATCAGCAAATGTTCTGCATTTTGCCGTTATAGTTGGAATAATCATTATTCACTCTCAAAATAAATCATGAAGAAGACAAATACATAACACATTTAAGAGTATCAAATTTGTATGACCAATTTTGCCTCCAGGAATCACAACCTTAATCTTATTACACAACATAAAATTGACAATGGAAACGGGGAATGCGTCAAAGAGACAAACAATCCGACCAAAGAGCAGAAAACAGTCCAAGGCCACCCATGGGTCTTCAACACAGCGAAGAAACCGTCCGATATTGAACTTTCCAAGGCTAGACTTCGTTTAAATCCCCAATCCCCATTTTAATGGGAACTAATTGTACACCCTGATAGCCATCTCATTCTTGTTCTCGTATAAATCAGAATTTACAAAAATAAACTTTCTTAGATATAAGAAGAAAAATAATCTTAATAATCCTTAACTGAACTTATGGTAATTGATTACAGTTTTCTTATTGTCAGTTTAAAAATAGGAAATAGGTTACAGTTCGACCTTCAACAATGAACAAAACCAATATCGTAAAGTAAACTATAAAAGGCCCCGCCATGACAAAATGTGAATCGATTCAAACGAAAACACCAACAGCCTGAATTATGACAAAACAATAAAAGAAAAACAAATATGACAGACAACAACCAACAACAAAAACATCTAACATAAAGACAAAAGGCACAGATTACCGATCTAAGAGTACTCGCAGTTACTAAAAGCTAAGCTCTCATTCTTGATTAGTTATACCAGATGCTCCTGTCTATGAAGTGTATTTCTGTTGGTACGAAGTATGCAATCCCATTTTATCATTCAACCATTTCACAAATAGATATGTAAATTCCACTACAACAGTCTTTTTAAAGGAAGCCGACTGAGATTATAATTTCACAAATGGTTACAATCATGCTGTTTTCCTTCTTACCAGACAAATGTTTACTTTGTTAAAAATTGCACATGGCCAGTATTATCCATCTGTTATTTCCACGTTGCTGACTATGAAACTTTGTACTGGGTATGTGCTTTTTGAATCACATGATGGTTGATGCATGCAATAGATGAATAAGTTATCCTGTTATTGCCTTTGAATTTAGTGTGATTCTAAATATTGTGTCATTTTGGTTTGGATGCTATTTAATGTTGTATTTATTGATTCCATTACTGTTGGCATCAAGTGCACCTGCTTGCAGTTATCTCAGAAACTTTAGTGCGCATTGGAATCGGTAACAAATGTTTAAATGGTAAGTACTGGATTTGTGCGACAGGTGGAGGACTGCCAGTCTATAAGGGTGCAATGTAAACATCAGCCAATGCTTCGGTACTGTCATTATTAACATAATACTTTTTTTATAAAATTTTAAGTTAATAAGATAACTGATCTTAAACTACCATAGCAACACATTAAGGCACACTGCCGTTTGATTCACTATTTGAGAAGAAACAAATCAAACGTCAATATATTCTGGCTAGAACGAAAATGTACCATACAAGGATTTCCCTTTTTACTGAAATGCTGTACAACTTGACAAGGACAACGTAACGTGATGATGCACACAAGATTAAGAAGGGTCGCATCTTATACACAGAAGGGGGTGATCTAATACATTGTATGCAATACAAGTAAAAAATAAGAACTTTTTACCGTAACACTTTCATTACAAATAATTAACATATTACCTGCTGCTGGACCTCCCAGTAAAGATCCAAGAGCTATCATGAACGACAAGTAACCATTGCCCATAGCAATATATTCTGGTCCAACTAATTCACGTGAGGCTTGTTGTAAAAATGTCGTCCAATAGCCACTGTAAAATCCATAGAGAATACAGTATCCTATCTGCCCTGCATAGTCATCTATCAATAGAGGGCAGATACCAGTCACAACAACCCCTAACCCTACTGAGCACAATAAAGATGTTATATCATCCAATGCACTGTTATGTCCCATGAAAGCAAATACCATCCTGGCTGTAAAGGCTGACATGCCGATACAGGAAATCAAGAATGAGGCAGTGCCGAAGTCTGTTCCGAACTCCATAGCATAAGAAGGTAAATAAATATATATGATTGTAGATCCAAAACTCCAGAATAAATTAGCAATGCACATGCCATGAAAGACAATATTACGGAGAGGTAGACATGACAGTAGAGGCATGAGACGAACTTGCCTCCCTTTGGCAACAGGGAACATGACGGCACCACATACACACAAGTTCAGTGCTATTCCTGATAATGTTAGTAAAGTGCCCCTCCATGCAGCGTATTCTAAGAGGTATTTTATTACTACAGGGAATGTTATTATACCGGCTCCAATGCCGCCCATAACAATAGATAGTGCCTGAAATCTTTTATGGTTAAAATACTGCTCGACAGCCATTATAGATGGTGTACATGCCAGTCCAAATCCAATACCTATAAAACAGTAAGAGCAATTACATAAGATATTTCGTTTAAAATATGTATTCAAAATCAATACTAATTTTCGTAGTTTTGCAGAATTCGAACCTGGATGTGTAAATGTACGCCTTTTCTACATTCAATCACTCATATTGTGCAGTGTAAAATTTGTCTATATTCCATAATTTTTTTTACATTAAAATAGCATTACAATTATTATCTTGTTTCACGTACCTGTTATAACCCCAAATGTGAGGTAAACCTGATACAGGTCCGTCACAAACATCCCCAGTCCTAGACCAATGGAGGAGATCAGTCCTCCTAGCATCACGCTGATCCGATATCCAAATTGGGACATAAAGCATCTTAAAACGATACCTGTAATATAGACAATTGTGTATGAAGACCATCGACACATGTATTTGCCATTTTCAAATTGCTATAGGTTCATATATAAGGTATTAGTAAGTTTTATTTTGAAATCATATATAATCTTAGGTTTGAACAGATCGACAAAATGACCAAGGTAAAAACCATTCAACATTCAGTAATTCTATCTGAATATATATAAAGAATCAAATCTACTCTTACATTGTTAGTTTGATTTTCTAGGCACTTTATATATATATATATATAAGACAAAGCTCAAAAATTGTTGGCGTATTTGTCAATTTATTACAAAAAAAATAAAGTTTTGATTTAAAAAATAAAAGAAACTAAACGCGAAGCTTTTATTTTGAAATAAGTAATAAGCGACGCAGATTCTATCGAATAGAACATTCAATTTAATAACAAATTGAAGCCAGTACAGAGAAAAAAAAAATACATATATGCATGTTACAAATCAATTAGCAAGGCGTGGGGGGTCAACAACAACTGATGAAAAGTTGTAAATCACAAGTTGTCTGTTCTACTGATCTAATACACAATTTGTAATGGGTCTAACAGTCAATTGTCACTACTTAAACAGCCACTTAGATTATCTGTTGATTTTTACATCTGTGACTAGTGACAGGCGGATACTTGTACTGAGTAGGAAAGGTATGTTGTGCTAAATTATAGGATAACACATTCCTATTGTCTTTTTTTATTATTGCATTGACAAACAGTATGAATGGGTCTGTATTGATAACAAAGCACAGCCTTATAGTATTATGTTAATAAACTTTTCAATTTTAACATCAGTAAAATAAAAAAAGCTTACTTGTTAAAGCTGTAACATACAGTAAGATAGATCCGACCCATGAAGTGTCAAAATGATCATGTTCAAAAATGTCTTTGAAAACTATATGGAATATTCCAATACTATAGGATATCCCACATATAATAAACTGAACGAAAAAAGATGCCACAACCACAGCCCACTTCCAATCTCCTGTCTCTTCCACCATGTTCGAATCACCCTTGGCGGCGATGACAATCATTTATATCCTGAAAAAATAACACGTATTAAGGCACCAAAATTCTGCTAATATTGATATAATCTCCCACATGATAATAAGGTATAATTTGCATAGTTATTATATAAACGCAATTGTCAACACTGAAAAATACATGTATGCATTAAATACATTTACAAAAAGCAGCTTTAACACACACAAAAACCGTCAACTACCCATACAGAAAGCAACTTCAATACCACAGTTGGATATAATCATCAAATACCTGTACAAAAACAGCTTCATTCAAAGACTCTTCAAAGTGGTGTTCTATGTGAAAAACGTCAAAATAATCGTTTCTCTAATTTTTTCACTGTTTTCACATTTCCAAACCAATTGTGAAAAAAATTGTTCTCCTCACTAGTGAAATAACTGTTCTCGGCAAATAATTGTTCGAAAGTTAGTTATGACGTCAAATTTTCTTGGTGCCGGTCTTCTGAATTTCCTATTGTGACGTCATGAAAAAAGGCGACCACGCCTGATGACGTCACATATAAAGAACACAACTTTCTGCAAATCTTTGAAAAAAAAGGATAAAAATCATTAGAGGAACAGAATCCACCACTATAACTCGTGTATTACGATATTTCTCCACCCTCAACAGTTAAATTTTAATTTTTTAAAAAGCTCGGCAAGCCTCGCGCTTTAAATATTAAAATTTAACTGTCTCGAATGGAGAAATATCGTAACACACTTGTTGCAGTGGTGGTATCTATATATCATCGTCGCGTTGTAGGCCATAAAACGTCCATTTTTGACGTGTTTCACTACCAACTAGGTAACCATTTGGTTAATACACAAAAAACGAAGTCGGTGACCATATGATTATTTCATATCAATAGCATGGAAGTTTATGTATCAACAACATATTTTATGGAAAATCTATGTATTTGAAATTGGAGAATTGATGATTTTAAGACAAATTTAAGACCGTTTTAAGCTGCTTTTATGTATTTCTATACGAATGTTCACCTATTTCAAAAAAATTCAATCACTCATATTTCAGAAAATAAAATAGAAAAATGCATTATTTTTTCGAATTTCAGTTCTAGTTCAACGAGCTTAAGCTGTACCGTATGCAAAATTTTACCAAAATCTGTGACATAGCCCATTGACTGTTCCTTGACCTTAAATCAACGTCATTTGTACTCTGTTATATAGTTGTGTCATTGGCAATCATACCACATCTACTTGTTTTATATTAATAAAAACTTCGACATTTTTCTAAGGTCAAGGTCATATAAACCAAACAAGAAATACATGTACACCTTACAATCATTCAATACACTAAATATAGTTGACCTATTGCTTATAGTTTCTAAGAAACAGACTTAAGCAAGAAAACTAAACATTGACCAATGAACCATGAAAATGAGGTTAAGGTCAGATGAACCATGCCAGGCAGACATGTACAGCTTACAATCCTTCCATACAACAAATATAGTTGACATATTGCTTATAGTTTAAGAAAAACAGACCAAAACACAAAAACTTAACACTGAGCAATGAACCGTGAAAATGAGGTCAAGGTCAAATAAAACCTACGAGACTGACATGTAAATCATAAAAAATTTCCATACACCAAATATAGTTGACCTATTGCATATAGTGTTAGAAAAAAAGACCAAAACTCAAAAACTTAACTTTGACCACTGAACCATGAAAATGAGGTCAAGGTCAGATGACACCTGCCAGCTAGACATGTACACCTTACAATCATTCCATACACCAAATATAGTAGACTTATTGCATACTGTATAAGAAAAACAGACCAAAACACAAAAACTTAACTATAAAAACTGAACCATAAAAATGAGGTCAAGGTCAGATGACACCTGCCAGTTGGACATGTACACCTTACAGTCCTTCCATACACCGAATATACTAGACCTATTGCTTATAGTATCTGAGATATGGACTTGACCACCAAAACTTAATCTTGTTCACTGATCCATGAAATGAGGTCGAGGTCAAGTGAAAACTGTCTGACGGACATGAGGACCTTGCAAGGTACGCACATACCAAATATAGTTATCCTATTACTCATAATAAGAGAGAAATCAACATTACAAAAAATCTTAACTTTTTTTCAAGTAGTCACTGAACCATGAAAATGAGGTCAAGGACAATGGACATGTGACAGACGGAAACTTCGTAACATAAGGCATCTATATACAAAGTATGAAGCCTCCAGGTCTTCCACCTTCTAAAATATAAAGCTTTTAAGAAGTTAGCTAACGCCGCCGCCGGATCACTATCCCTATGTCGAGCTTTCTGTGATAAAAGTCGCAAGCTCGACAATAAAACTATATACCAATTATCAAATCAATTATCTTCAAGCATGCCGAAAAAAAGTGCGGAAAACTGATTATTTGAGTGAATTTTTTAAGTCCAAGGACCATAAATCTGCACAAAATCATTAGACCGGAACAAAATTCGAACTTGATCTGTAACTTGTCATGATAAAACAATAAAACAAATATCAATTCAATATCTTCAAGCACGAAGAAAAAAAATGTGGAAAACTGATTTGCCGGACTGACGGATGGACAGACAGACAGACAGACAGACAGTCCCCTTCGACTTCGTGGGTAGGGGACTAAAAACTCTTCATATACAGAGCAGTCCGGTGTATCCGCGCACCTTAGACTTTTGGCTACACTTTGTTTGGTAAACTCATGAATGCCCGCTGATTTCCGGCCGCGCGGACGCAGGGTATTGCATCTTCAAAACACTTGAACATACTTACTAAATATTTGTTCAAGTTAGTTAAATTGCCTCATAACTTTCATCTATTAGAGACAAAACAGGGTAAACAAAAACAAGGGATTCGCAGGAACTTAAAAAGAATTGAGAAATATAATACATATAACAGTTTGTATTTAAATTGTTAAGATAGGATTCTACACCTTTCTGACATTTTTATAATAAAATAAAACTATTTTCAAAGAAAGGACCATTAATTTATTTATTTTTTTTACTGTTCCTGAATCTCAAACTAAATAATAAAAAAAAAAATATTAGGCAATTAATTATAACGAAAAATAAACAATAAACATTCTGGTCGTCATCTTATGTAACACTTATTTTGTATTATAGACCTGACAATTGTTATTATCCTTGTAATAAAGGACTTTAAATCTATATACAATTCGTAACATTCTTAAAGAAAAACGATCTGATTCAGATATTTGACAAGGCTCCATTATGTGTGTGTGTGTTGCAGCCAACTAACAGAGCAGCGTTAAAGATCTAATTTTAATCAGATTGCAAGACTGGCCTCCAATTTTCAGATTAAATTAAAGACAAAAAAATGATTACCAAACTGAAATAGTTAGAATATCAACTATTTTATTTTATTCTACTTCTATTGAATACATTTTAGTATAAACGTATTTTAACTATATATATATATATAAAAATCCTTACCATTGCTCTCGTTGACTTTAGGACTAACACGAGAGGGTGAATAACACAGTACAACTATAATCTGTTATTGTAAAGGACAAAGTAGAAATAATTGAAAGTAGATAACATATTTAAATGTTAAATTAGGTGTACACTGTGGATGGAATACCTTTCCTCTTCCTATACTAAAAGTAATACAGAAATTATCAATACAGTTATCATCCTTATCTGTAAATAAATATATATGTCATAAGTGTCACAATCCCTCACCTGATACAAGAACTATACTTATTTTTATCAACAGGACCAAATTTGAGGTTACAGTTGGCGTAAAAAAATCTGCAAACGAGGTATATCAATGTTCTTAAAGTTAGGTTTATACATTTTCCGCACATTTACCGTATCCTATGGGCTACTGAACACCAAGTTTAAGACAAAAACAATAAGGTACAGATTACAAACAATTTGAGTATGAAATACTAGTCACCTGTCACTGACCTCATTTCATGATTCAAAATCGATACATTCTACACAGTTATCCCTGTGGATTGAAATCCTACTTAGCAGTTGACTATGTACATGTATGCATGTACCTTTCATTCCAACTCTTCAACGTTTAATTTACTATAGCTAGACACTTTCCAAAATGCAGTTTACTAAAATAGTTCGTGTGACCTAACAGTGATTTTTTTCTTCTTATAAAATGTCAGGTAGATCGGATGTCTTCCCCTATCGAAGGTTGTAAAATAGCAGAACATTCATTTGAATGTCCCTTTGGTATCTTTCGCCTCTCTTCTATCATTTTAAAATTAGACCCCTAACCCCCCCCCCCCCCCTTCCCCCTTTTCCCCCTTTATAAAAACCATTATCTTTTTTTTGGAAAAAGCCCATTTAGTTATTTGGTGAATAGATATAGGAAGATGTGGTATGAGTGCCAATGAGACAACTCTCCATCCAAGTAACAATTTATAAAAGTAAACCATTATAGGTCAAGGTACGGCCTTCAACACGGAGCATTGGCTCACATCGAACAGCAAGCTATAAAGGGCCTCAAAAATTACTAGTGTAAAACCATTCAAACGGGAAAACCAACGGTCTAATCTATATAAAAACGAGAAACGAGAAACACGTATGAACTACATAAACAGACGACAACTACCATGACTACTGTACATCAGATTCCTGAACATTAGAATGACTGTTTACGTCCCGAATAAAACCCATTTGACACTATCCATCTACATGACCTTTAACCCAAAAAGAATTAACAGAAGAACATATTATTTTGGTTATATAATATTATATTTTCATGACATTTAATTGCTATGTCAACATTTGTTAGAATTGTATTCGCACGCAGTATCAAGAAAATATAAAGAGTTTGAATTTGAATATAATGTTGTAGTGTTTGTTAGAATTGTATTCGCACTCAGTACCAAGAAAATATAAAGAGTTTGAATTTGAATATAATGTTGTAGTGTTTGTTAGAATTGTATTCGCACTCAGTACCAAGAAAATATAAAGAATTTGAATATCATGTTATAATGTTTGTAAATGAGAAGAGTTTGAAAAGATTTACAGCTTAAACAAGTTGTTGGGCTAATAATCACACGTTCATGTTAACAACATGAAAGAATAGCACATAAACCTGGCGATATATCTAAGATACGAATAACTTTATTAACAACAATGGATATATAGCAAAACATTAAAATAGCCTTTCAACACGTCATAATTATTAGGACTAGGTAATCACTGCATATATAAAATTCATAGAGTATATTCAACAAAAGTGAAAATGAACGCAACCGGCTATACAGGAACAGGTACTGTTTTCTGCCAGAGATGCTCGAGTTCACCTGGAGTTTTTGGTGGGGTTCATGTTGCTCAATTTTTAGTTTTTGTGTACATGTACATATGATCACCTTTTATTTTGGCTATGGTGTAGTCTATCCTTCAACTTATAATTAATGTGTTATGGGCCCTCATGATACATATAAATAAACGGAGATGTCGGGTAACCGTCAATGAGACGATAACCTACGATACTGATAACAAAAATGACATCTAGAGGGCAGCACTCAGTCTTCAACATTATAGCCAAAATGTCTATAAAATATCATATGTTGCCCGTCTATAAAAATTGAGAATAAATATAACAGAAACAACCAGAGATCTGCAATTAACAACCAATTCTCCAAATAACTATAGACATGAGCAATTCCAATACATAATGACTGAGACTACTGTGTGTTATAGTAGTCTCAGATAATGATAATAACTATAGACATGAACAATGCCAATACATAATGACTGAGACTGTGTGTTATAGTAGTCTCAGATAATGATAATAACTATAGACATGAACAATGCCAATACATAATGACTGAGACTACTGTGTGTTAAAGTAGTCTCGGATAATGATAATAAAGGATCTGGATGAGAGGGACTTGGGGAGGGGTAATTACTGCACTTGCATTTTTATGCCATATTTCTCTATTCTTTATTTTTATTGTCCAATATTCTCTATCCTATATATTTTAGTTATTAACACTCATTATTTTATATTCTTTATCAACTCTTTGTCTATTGCCACACACAGACAATCATATACAATGTATACCAAACCCACTATTAAACATCAATATCTACATGATTGTACATAGGGATTTAAGTAACTTTAAATGCAGTCAATTTTGTTTCTACTCTGTGCAAAGTATCTGCTAATTCAATAAATATGATGATGTAAATAATTTGCAATCGTGTTTGTAATTACTTTGTGAAGATTTACTCCTGTGAAACGAGTGATCTTGTACAGGTGTTGTACATATATTAGTTTTATCACCTGATGAGATAGAAAACAAGGTCTTACCTTTTATCATGTTGACATTTTTCGTTTTCTTCAAGAAATGTATCTAATATTGCTCCATTATTTTTTTATCATTGATATAATGTAAAAAAAGTCTTGTTCAGAGTTATCCTTTATCGCCCATCAAAACAAAAATCAGCTGATTTTAAGTGGGTCAAGTCCATAACTATGCTTCCCACGTGATCTCTTTGTTTACAGGCATATCTATATTTAGATCTGATCACTAAAGTCAGAATAAAATACGGGAGAGATATGAATTTTCAAATAATGCAATGTATTTCATCATTAATATACTAGGACCAATGCTGACCATCATACATATATAACTATGACCAATATATTGTTAATGTTATAATCCAGGCTTGAATCATCACAAGTAAAACATTAAAACTAAAAAATTAGATAAGCGAAGCTAGTATGTTTTATGACGAAAAGATACGGTCTTGAGCGAAGTAAAATGTTAATTAAATATAAAATTTTATTTAACACGAAATTTCAGATTAAATTCATTGTATAGAAGAAGATTTTATTTTCCCATTAAACAAGGAGCAACGTACAATGTTAGACATTCCTTTATAAGAAATAATACCCTAATAAAGAACTTAGTAAGCACAAACTGTTTTAACACACATATACACTCCTTTTAAATAGCTTACTCTACATATTGCAAACCGTCATGCATGTAAATTCGTTGGCGATCTACAAAAGTTGTCATTGTTGTATTATTGTTTCGTGTCATGATTAGGAACATTGCCAGAGCTATAAAGTATACCTAACCATAAGAATTATTCAACAGTATCACTATAAATGTATAAAGTTGAAAAATTGTTTCGGAAATAAACAATTCATGATATAAATGTACGTCAAAAACTGACCCGATATCAATCAATCCAACCCTTATAGTAAAATAATGGTTTTATTCAATCTTTTATCCTCATAGATAGAAAATCAATATACAACAGAAACATTTAAAAGAAATCGAATAAGTTAATAAAAAGAGCAAATTTACCTGCTTTAAAATTAGCGAAAAATCAAAACAAAGCAAATTTTAAGGTCATTTCAAGCTCTTAATCTTAAGATTTATAATTTTAACTACCCAAGCATTGACAGTTTGGTTTTAACACCAAAATGCTTTTTTTTTATTTGTATTGGTTTATTGATATTTTTTCTTGTGTAAGGTGTTACAAAGTGAATGTACATGCCTTCAACACCTATTATCAATTTGAATGCAATTATCTTTCCGATGATCAATGCATTTGCACTTTCTTAGATTTTTGTCTTTATCAAATAAAAGGAGAAATAAAAATAAAATTAATAAATAATATATAATATTTAAAAGATGATTTCAAAATGACGACTGTCATGATGTATATATGAGGGTCTTAATGGGGGCACCTTCATGACGAATAACGGTAAAAATTCTTGCAAAATGACGTTAACGGTAATTTTTGGTGCATGACGATAAAATGTACACTTTCTTTTAGACGATAAAAAAATCGACTGATTTTGACGAATCACGTTAATTTTTTTCAAAAATAACGGTAACGATAATTATTTGAGACCTCTGACGAATCACTATAAGGATATTTTGACGAATCACGGTAAAATTTTAACCAATTTGACGCTAACGGTAGCCGAAACTGACCGTTTGACGTCTGACGGTAAAGGGCATTCCTACCCTCATATATGGGAAAGCAATATACGAAAACAAAGTGGGGGTGACCCGGGGTTGCTCATTTTCCAGATTCCACTTTTTTTAATTTTTCCCTCTTAATTTCCCACTTTTTCCAAGTTCCAACTTTTTGGCCCCCTATATCCCACATCCCAAAAGCGAGGCATCCCCTCAACAAAGTTGGTGACCTCTTATGAATTTCCAGCAAAACTTAGCATATTTACCCATACAACAAGTGACCTAAATGACCTGAATGATGATTAATGGGGTTCCCAGTTTGTTGTCAATATTTCCACAAACACTTAACTTCCGGCCTTGTATCTTACGATCTAATGTGACACAATACACAATTTTATGGAAACGACATATTATGCAATATCATACATGTGTTATTGTAGAAGGTTAAATACATGTAGCTTAAATAAGATAGATAAGAAGATAAGAATTTTATTAATCTAATCAAGAACCCATAAAGGGCATCATTTACAACAATATTAAGCACAATATGATTGGAAAAAATAATTATAATGCATTCCTACCATCTTGTGACCTTATATAACTTTCAAGTACTAACACTGAGAAAGTATTCCACAGTTACAACATTTACCTAAAACTTATGTATACATAATATATGTTCATGTACATGTTTATGTTTTACTGGATATGTCAGGTGTCGTCTGTTAAAAGTATAATTGTCTTTGTGTTGAAAATTTCAAGCAACGTGACAATAATAAAAAAAATAACTTTACCTTTTATGTCATTTTTCCTTTGAAAGTTGTTGAATTAAAACACAAAATGGCGATCAAAACAAAACTATCTACACATGTGTATTAGCTGTTATTGATTAATTATACATGATCGCTGCTGGCACTGCGATTTTTTCTACAACGTGTATGGATTTTATTTATTTCCGGATCACATGATAATGCCTACTTCGTGATCGATTCGGAAATTATTTATCGCGGGAAAATATGAAGACGGTTCACGGCTGATTACTTCACTAAGTTGGGCGTAAATTCAAGCGGATTCCAGTTTAGAAGAAAGATGAAAGTGAAACGGTAGTATTTTCTGTGCTATAGTAAAAACGGTATTCTTTTTAGAATTTTTTAATACTTTTTAGCATTGATCCAGAACATACACACACTACTGACTGCAGTACTTTCAGTATACTTATAATATTGTGAGTATGCATGAGGGTCTGGATGAGGTTTACAGAATAGAGAATAATGGCACCAAAAGAATAACGAATAGAGAAAAATGAGCAAAAATATAAAGACAATTATAGGGCGCAAAGGTATAAAGAATAACCAGAAAATAAAAGAATTAGACCATGTAGTAAAATACTTATTACAGAAATGAAAATGTGAAAGAAAACGTTTCATTCATAGAAACATTTCTCTGTCAATTTCAAACATTAAGGGTGAATGGTCCGAAAATTCATTTAGGTGAAGAATGTCAAAATTAGTGTTTTTATCAAAGTCATTTGTTGTAGCTAACATATAGAGCCATTTACGCTGCGACCACTAGCTGAACAAAATGTAAATTTTCCATATTGGTCGTTTCCATGCATTCCTTTACAAATCGTCAGAAAATCTTATTTTAACAAAGTTGCATATGTTTCTAGTACGTAATTTGCCGAACTGATTTACGGCAGTATCCATTTAAAAACAAAATGAGGAATTTCTTGAAACACATCCAAGACTTGCAGAGACTGACAAGATCTGATATGATGGATAGTTTGGAGGAACACAATGGCATTGTTTTGAGATCGACAGAAAGAAAAAAAAACTAATGTTCTTTCAGAAATAAGCGTCCCTAAATGCGTCCTGTACAGCAAAGCTTGTTTTTCTCCATAGACTGTACTTGTTTATGTGTGGTTACAGATACACTGATGATACAATGTTGCTACTATGTTTAAAAGGTTATTGTATAGACTCGATCATTACCTTACGCAATATGCTGAAAAAAAAACTTTTCCCATAAATTAAAACTGGAGTGGAAAACGACAATCAATTCTACGATTAAAGCGCTAGCTACATCAGAACGCCGTAAGTGTATGGAACATGACAGATATTTTGTTCGCTTTACACATCATTACACAATGGTGAAATTTTCAGTGGATGGATAGCTGCTAAACGAATGTCGAACTTTCCAATGCGATTTTTTTTTCTTGTAAAACTAGTAACATGCATACATCAGGTAATCCTCTCCTTTGTATATGTGATAACTGAGAAATATATGAATGAGCTATGATTTTGCATTGAAGTATATATATGGGTCGGGATTTTCACTGAACTTCAATAACTGAATCTGGGTGCTAAAAAGCTGCATAGTAATTCTGCGGATTTTACCCCTCTGGCAAATTATCGACTTAGAAAGGGGGGTGATACCCTTCTCTTATCTTCAAATACACCCAATCCCGTCACAACAAGTTCTTGCTAGCAATCTTGCTGGTAATACAACACAATCCTGGCTGCCGAACAGGTATGATTACAATCGGATTTAATTGTAGGTCGAAACTGTAGGAGGGGTTGCAACGACGAACTATGTAACTTCAATGCTGAATTGAAATAGGTATATTTCAATAACTCATCATTATCATAGGATAATTTGTCCAAAAAATTAAATCATCATGATACGCAAGTCTAATATGCACAATGATGTGTGAAGTAAACAAAAAAACAAAAAAACAAGAAGAGGTGCGACGGCTACACTGACTCACGTAGACTTTAAGCGAACATACGGAATGACGGATAGACTGAGTAGAGTGGAGTATGCCCTTAACTATTTATGCAGTGGTATATAGATAATTTATAAACAACAGAAAATCTAAATTGTATATGACACTTTACTAACCAAAGTTTCGATTTCTTCACTGGCGTGTTTTCTTAAGATGCTGTGAAAAAATCCTTCTATATCTCTGCTAATAATTGATCAATCATGGACCTTTATGTCTATGAAGCACTCAGGTCGACGTCAGGTTGTTAATCGACGTCCATTTCTCAAATCGACGTCCATCTAATCAAAGTTATACTAAAATGTACCATAATTCATTCGTCCTTCTTTTGTAAAAGTGTGAGGGTATTTATACATACCCTATGGGAGTATAATATTACTTCTGATTGGTTAGCCAATAATACAAAAGATAACCTCCACATTTTTGAGTGCTGGTGTTGATTGGCTAACCAATCAAAAATTGTAATCTCCCGATATCTTCACAGTTTTACAAAAAGGGGGAGGGAGTTTTACGATATATCGATATATCTGCTGCCGCCCACTGGGAAATACTTCATATAGAACGCAAACAAACATCATAAAAAAACTAGAGATCACCATTTTATACCATTATCCTCAACAATGTAGACATATTTTCTACCACTGCATCGAGTGTGATGCGATATTTAATCACTCGAGACAGCTATCAAAATTTTCAAATTTAGAACGCAAGGCTCGACGAGCATTTTAAATATTTTACGTATTGCACGGAATTTGGTTGTAGAATCAGATTCTTTAATGATTTTTAGACGATATGCAGATATACTTAATTCTTCTTTTCTAATCTGCAAAAGATGTGTTCTTTCTTTGTAACGTCTTCAGACATGGTCGCCTTCTTTCGTGACGTCATAATGGGAAATTCAGAGGAAAGCAAGAAAACACCTCAGAATTGAATTTTGACCAATGTAGAACTGAGATCAAACAAACCATACGTTGATTAAATAAAGATAATCAACAGGTCAGGAAAATGATATATCGGCTAAGAATTAGAGAAAAGTGTTTATATCATAAGTAAAAAAACTCCATATTTACTTTAAAAGACTGTAAAATATATCCTGTTTACTCTGAATTCCTTAAAGGACATAAAGGTTTTTGTTTTGGATACCACATATGGCATCTAAGACTTTTATCAAATTATCATCCATCTAATTTGTCAATGATTCCTTGATTGCCAAAATTATATCAAAGCTTAAATATTTTTTTGAAAAATA